AATTCGGTCACCTGCAGGAAGTGTGAGTCCTGCTCTGCAGCCACCTTTCCTACCGTCACTCTCAGCTTCTGGGGAGAGTTTTTCACTAATCAGTTTGTTTAAAACAACCTTGTACTCTGTTCTACATCATGTGCTATGTCTATCCTTGGTTTTGACTGACAGCTTTGTTTTGCCATATTTGACTTTATTCTCTCCCCCCCCCAAAAAAGTAATAAGAACTAAGGAGTAATAAAATCCAAAATGTGTAAATTTTGTTGTAAAAAAGAGAGGGGAAAAAAAGAGCTCTAACAGATATAACAGCAAGTGTGTTTAGGGATGTTAAATAGCTGACTATATTAATGTTTTTGGATCATTGAACACAGCTGTTTGCAATCTCTCTGTTTGAATGTCCACTTTGTATCCTTTGATACTGTGATTTGAGCAACTATTTCCAAGATGATAATATGTAATCTATTAACAGGTGATTTCTTACTGTTATGTTTTTTTTTTTTGTTTTGATTTTTTTGTAGTTCTGTATTACGTGTACCCTTACACCGCTTTGTTTTGTTTTGGTGTTTTTCTCTTTTTCCTCTTAAATAAAATTAAAAAAAAAACAACTGGGGGTTAAATCCAGGGTCTCGGACTGGGCTAGAGCCCAGTCTTTATTGGATTTTTTATTGTCAAGACAAGAGTTCACTAAGTTACTAAATTGCCGGAGCTGAACTTTTAGTCCTCCTGCCTTAGCTTCCTGGAGGACCAGGATTACAGGTGTGTGCCTCCATGCCTAGCTCCAGAAGTTCCTCCCAGAGGGGCTTGTGAAGGGGACATTCTCTGTGTCCCCCCAAGACAGCATTCTCTAGCATTAGATACTATGTATGTGACCTTGTTTTCTGTTACTGTAACCAAGCACCCGAGACAGAATGGAGACTGGAAGTCTGGTGGGTGCCCCCTGCTGTGCTGTTAAGTGGATCTGTTTTCCTCTGCTTCTGAAGTCACTGATGTCATTGTAAGAAGCCAGCGTCATGACCTCATCTAACTCTAATTACCTCCTGAAGTCCTCACCTCCAAATGCTACAACCTCAGGACTTAGGGATTTAGTTTTCAAAGCTGGGCATGGTGGTACACACCTGTAATCCCAGCAAGTGGGAGGCTGAGGTATAAAGATGGTCATGACTCTGAGGTCAACCTGGGCTACATAGTAAGCTCAAGGCCAGTCTGGACTATGTAGCAAGACCCTGCTTCCAAAAACCCAAACAGAAGAACAAAGGAGCAACAGGACTCTGGTGATCCCCACCCCTTCTATGCCTGTGTCCTGTTACATTTTTCCTGCTCTCTGAAGAATGCAAGGAGAGAAAAGCAGACTAAGAATAACTGTGATTTTTGCTCCTGTCCCAAGAGTGACAGGAAATGTCACTCATGCTGACAGTAGAAACCTCCTGAGATATTAATGTAGCATCACCCGTGTAATGACAACCTGAGGGGTCACAGCTAGCCCCTTACATCATAGAAAATGTCAGAGCAAAGCAAATGAGAATCGCCCTCTTCTTCTAACATCTTCTCTGAAAGATCTCTTAAAATCCTTTCACTTCCGTAATTCCCCTGGAGTAGCCTTGTCCGATAGAAGTATAACTAAGTACCAATACTTCTCTTTTTTTGAAAGCCAGCTAACCTGGGCCTAGTGTTTTACGGTTATCTCAGCACACACTGAGTGCAGATGGATGTGAGCATGGTGTGAGGGCTCATTTTAAAAACATGTTTATTATTCCATGTTTGCAGTATATCACAATTACAGTCATTGTGGGGAGTTGGTACCCACACATCATACCCTACTCAGTTTTATTTCAATCCCCTTTGTCTAAGTCACTGTTCCTGTAGCTGAGACACAATGCCAACCCTATGACTGAAGGAAAGAGAGATTTCTTATGGCTCACATTTCAGGCCATAGTTAGCTGACTCCAAGGTAAGGCCTGGCAGAGCAGAGCTACTCACAACATAGGTGGACAGGAAACAGGCAGAAGAGAGGAACCGGAGAGGGACATGATTCTTCCAGACCAAATCCCCAGTGACTGCCTCTTCCTGCCAGGCCCTACTGTGTACAGCAATCAGCAATGAGTCTGCACTGCAGCCACCTCACGAGCATCCATCTATGAGCACAGGAGGCTTCAGGTGGACGTCTAGATATAAACAGTAACTCATTCCTCCCCTCTCTTCTTTCACAGCATAATTTTGCCCATCCCTTTCAGGCATTTAGATAGCTGTCTTGGCTTTTGCTCTCAGGAAATGTATTCTGAGGCAGAGAATGGTGTGCAGGTATTTGGGATAAACATTCAAAGGTCAAGTTCTAGCATAATTACTAACTTTATTATACCCTTAAAGACATTCTTAAGTGAAACCTGCAGTTTTTATATTTCTTGTGGGTGCAGTGCAGTGAAGAATGCCAGTGACCATGGTCTGGGTTTCATATAACTGCTATGGTCTGTGCGCAGGTCCCCCCAAGTACACCCACTACCACTTTGGCACCATGAGCACAAAAGTCAACAGTATGAAGAAGTAAACAATCCCTTAGCATCATTGTGAAAATAACCTGACCTTTCATGACCCACTGAATGGGACTGGGGACCTCCAGGGATCATGGAACACAATTTGAAAATCTGAATGAGCCAATTTCTTCTGATTTTATGGCAGAGAGAGGGAAAGTGGCTATGGGATTGGAGCAAGAACATAATGCTTACATTGTCTGTTCCTAGTGAGTTAAAACTGCTTCCATTCCCCCTCTTAGAGGAACAATAATGCCCCATACCCAGATCAATAACTGAGTGTCCCGTATCGTAGGCTGCGTAGATCCACTCCAGCAACTACATTCACCCATACATCCTGCACAGCCAGTAATGTGGCTGGTCCTTGGACATGTCTGTGGCAGGTTGCTGTTCTCTGTTATAACCCAGTTTTTGTAGAGACCACCTGGATTACACGTGACTAGGACAGAAGTCCATAATCTCTGCCATCAGACTCTCCTCTGAAGTAGTATTGTTGTTATCCACTATCCCAGCTCCTACTTTGAGGAGGAAGTTTTGGAGACTCCATTTGACCTGCCCTCTATAGTAAATTTTACCCTGAAGGTCAAGCACCAAAGTGGGATTCTGCCAATGACCATGATATACATACGATGATGCCCTGGGGAAATGGAGAGGCCACCAAGGAGTGCGTACAGTGGTCCAGGGCATCATCCATGAGCCAGGCCTAGACTGTCTTCTCCCTACCACTGCTGTAGCAGGGAGGCCAGCCATGCTGTGTCCCTGAATGTCAGAGTCAATTCACCCTGTGGGTACGTCCTTTTCCTGGTGCAGTTACCTGCACAGATAGCTGTAAGTTGCCTGGGGAGGAATACTGCAGATATTTCTGTAGACCATCATTGCTGCTGGGCTGCTGGAGTATTCCTCACAGACATTGAGCCCCTCTTTGGGCCTCAGAAATGGTTTGACCTTGGAAACTGGTTTCCTTATTGGGCCATCGGCTTCCTGGTCATCTGTCCTTGGTTTGTTTTGAGTGATGAATTAAGCCACTCTCTCTGACTGTCTACGTATTGAGTCCAGGACTGCTTGTCTGTTGGACACCATTCTATTCTTGTCAATGATTATGGAGGAATCACTGTATTAGCTACTAACACACAGTTTTCAAATTCATGTATTAATCTTATTCTTAGAAGACTTCAGTAACAAGTTAATGTGTATCCAAGCCTGATTTTTTTGCCCTCACTAGAATAGCTATGTTTTTAAGAATGCATTACATCACTTTGAAGTTACCACAGGGAGATTAACTTCTCAGTACATTCTAATGATACTTGTTTTTCTTTGTGAGAAATAGAATCTTGTAAAATAACCTGCTTCTTGTTTTCAAATGATTAGAAAACTTTTGACCAAATTTACACGTAATATATGTACAGGACTTCGTGATACACATTGAATGCACTTTAAAAAATATTATCCCACTTTCCTTTCTGTCATATAGTTTTCCTTATTTCAACTTATTTCATCTTGCTGCATCATGTGTCTCTGTATGAGGTGCTGCAAGTCCTAACATATTTTATGGGACTGGGGGTGTAGCTATGTTAGAGTGGCACCAGGCATGGTGGCATATGTCTGTAGCTCCAGTACTCAGAAAACTGAGGCTGGAGGATTGCCATGAGTTCAAGACCAACCTGGACTGGACTACATAAGTAAATTTAAGACCAGCCTACACTACATAGCAAGACCTTGTCTCAAAACTTAAATACACAAATAAGTAAATAAATAAAGAGTAGGGTGTTTGCCTAGTATACACAGACCCTACTTTTGATTCCCAACACTAGCTAGGTAGTAGATCCAAACTTCTGGATAGTATCTATTAATATTCTCCTAATTTCTGGGGATGTGTATCTGGTTGTTTATAGGTGGAGGGGAGTTAGATGTGTCCCTTCTCTTTTTTGTAATACAGCACTTATAACGTCTTGTATCCAACTGTTTCTGGATACAGCAAATTCAGTTTAGTGGGCAGCGAGATGGCCTAGCCTCTCTCTGGGATAGGCCTTCTACCTCCAATACCGGGACATCTCTGAGAGTAGCAGAAAATGTCATCTTGCCTTTTCACCCAAAAGAAAACAAACACTTTAAGAGTAGTAACCAAGAGTTATGTACAAAGGAAGCAGTCAGGTACCCAAATCTGGACGAGAAAAGTAGGCGCAGCACCCCCGACTGCAGCTAGGAGAAGTGGAAGACAGTGTTCGAGGTCTGCATGGCAGCTCCAGGACAGGTGCCAAAAGTTCATTGGCCAACTCGTCCCAGGAGAACAACTATTTCAGGCGAAAGCAGCAGGACCTCGGACAGCACTGCCACAGACTGTGTCAGCACCGCGGACAGCGGCAAACGCAAACCCTGCTGCGCTCAGTTCTGTTCTGCTCTGCGCGAAGCACGGTGAGCGCGCGGCACCGCGGACAGCGCCATACCCGCGCGCGGAGTCAGGCGGGGACTGGCGGCTTCATCAGCTGATGCCTTACGTAGGGCTGGATCCCACTTTGATAAGGCAGGTCTGGTGGGCGCGCCAGCATCCCCTCCCTGGAGTCGCAGCCCCAGACAGAGTGGGAAAGGAACGCGCCCGGATCAGAAGGCAGTTCCTGGGAGGAGGTATCTATGTGGCTTCCCTAATGAAAAGCTGAGACCGTGGGCAGGAGGGGGTTGGCGGCGGGAGCCACGCCGAGAGTTCGGCTCTGACGCACGGACGAGCTCTGAGCACCAGCTCTCTGCAGGGCCAACCCTGGGATGCTGTACTCCGGGCTACGGGACAGCCGTCTTCTCCCAGGTGAGGAACCTGCAGCATGTGACCTAGCTCCTTGACCCAGCTGCCCTAGCCTCTGGGGACTCCAGGCTCAGGGACTTGCAGCTCTGTGCCCTCCTCCAGACCGTCTCGTCTCTCTGCACGCTCAGGCAGGAGGCCGGGGCCACCTTTGTCCTCCAGACGCCTCGCCACCTGCCAAAGGCAGTGAACATCCAGACTGCTTCTGAGCGCAGAGGGCCGCCTGGAGACTTGCGCACCCTTGCTGTATGCGTGCCGCGCTGGTGTCCTGCCCTAACGATGGATCTGCTTGTGAACTTCTCCTTTACCCTCTCCACCCCATCCTCTCTGGAGTCTAACCACAGCCTGGGAGCTGAGGACCTGCGCCCCAGCCCGCCCTTGCTCTCCGTCTTCAGCATGCTCGTTCTGACCTTGCTGGGCCTTCTAGTGGCAGCCACGTTCGCCTGGAACCTGCTGGTGCTGGCCACCATCCTCCGCGTGCGCACCTTCCACCGTGTCCCACATAACCTGGTGGCCTCCATGGCTGTCTCCGATGTGCTGGTGGCCGCGCTGGTCATGCCACTGAGTCTGGTGCATGAACTGTCTGGGCGCCGCTGGCAGCTAGGCCGGAGGCTGTGCCAGCTGTGGGTGGCATGCGATGTGCTGTGCTGCACGGCCAGCATCTGGAATGTGACGGCCATAGCCCTGGACCGATACTGGTCCATCGCATGTCACCTGGAATACACGACCCGCGCTCGAAAGCGCGCATCCAATGTAATGATCGCGCTCACCTGGGCACTCTCGGCTGTCATCTCTCTGGCCCCGCTGCTGTTTGGCTGGGGGGAGACGTACTCTGAGCACCGAGAGGAGTGCCAGGTGAGCCGAGAGCCCTCCTACGCCGTGTTCTCCACCGTGGGGGCTTTCTACCTGCCGCTCTGCGTGGTGCTCTTCGTATACTGGAAGATCTACAAGGCTGCCAAGCTCCGTGTGGGTGCCAGGAAGACCAACAGCGTCTCACCTGTGCCTGAAGCCATGGAGGTGGGTGCACAGCAATCCCTAACAATCCCTCACTCGCATCTGTGCAGGCTGTACCCGGGACGCTATCCATCCCTGACGTTGGTGGAAAGTGGAACTTTTGGATTTAGGGAGGGTCAGGCTGGGGAGAAACCAAGGGCCAGAATTTGCTCTGACAAACTTCACATCCCGGAGCTACCCATCCTACTGGCATCTCTGATAGGGGACTTCCTTAGCTATAAAATGAGGAGCCTGAGCTGCCTGTTCTACTTGGTCTCCCTTGGAACTAAAACCTTGTGGGACTGTGACAACCTTTAAGGCATACAGAGAAGTAGGTGCCTAGGGCATCTGGAGTCTGCACTTCTGAATCCCCTGCAGCTTTCTATCCTGAGAGTGGGTACTGGGTAGAGGAGTTTCTGGACTCCACAGGAGATCACCACACTCAGGAATAGCACCTTAGAGTCCTTCTTTTCCTTGAAAATTATGGCTACCAATTTTGCAAAATGTGCCTGGGTTGCTGTCGCTTGACGGCGACCTCCCCTGCTGATGTGGGATTGCAAGTATTGTTTACTTGGGTCTCAGTGCCTATGTTGGTGTCTGTTCCATGCCTTGTGGCACTGCTCAGCTCTATTCCCTGTGGCCCCATCAGCTGCCCAAGGACCATTTGTTTCCCTCCTGATCGTGAGGACACTATGGCAGGAAATTAAAAACTCACGACTGACAACTGACCAGCTCCCCACAAATAGCATTTAATGTGAAACCACCGCTCCAGCAAGCAGGAAGCCTCCTTTTTTAAATTTTCTTCTCATCCACACTTTCCTGTTTTTTGTTAACTCTTGATAACCTGACCCTATGATGCCAGAGTCTATAGTCACATCAATCCACTGGATGTGCAGACTTCTTCCCTACCCCTTCCTTACTGATTACTAAGGCTCATTCTGAATCTCACTCACATACCGAAGTCAGGTCAGGAACATTCACAGGCCTCATTTTCTGTTACTGGGCTCTGGGGCAGCAAAACGCATTTAATGAAGCATCCCGCACCGTGCGCACTATGGGCTTGAAGAGAGAAGAAGCGGAAAGACAGGCTTTGCCTATGGAGATCTGGGGAGACAGATGGATCTATGGACAGCTGGGGAGACAGACACCTTTTGTGAGTCCTACAGGATGGCTGCATTTTCTCTAGTTGGTAGCTAATTCTAGACATACCCAGTGGCCAAAACTTAAAGAGACTAGAGATGTTTCTAGGGAAAGTAGAGGGATTCAAGAAGAAAGAGGGGAAAAGGGTTCAGAGGTCATCTGTCCTTTGTCTGTGACAGTAGTCCTCAGCTAAGGGTAGCATTGCATCCCAGGGCACAGGTGGACAGTCTGGAGACATTTCTGGTAATTCAGACTTGGGAACAGTGTGCTACTGGCCTTTAGCATGCAGAGAACAGGGATGCTGCTGAACTGGACAGCCCTGCAGCCAAGACTTGTTCAAACCAAAATGTCCAGAACATCAAACACTGGGAACTCTGAGATATTAGATTTCTGCACTGAACAGGAAGCAGCAATGAGGAAAGATGCCAGAGAGACCACCAAAGTATAGGAGAATACACTCAGATTCTGGATCAAGAGTAAGAGGGCTGGTCACCTCCACAGCCCTGTCTACAGGAATCCTCTAAGGCTGGATGCCCATCAAGGCAAGCAAGGTTGACAATGAACACCAATCCCCACTTTAAGAGGAAAATCATTTCCAGTTGGCTCTTTGTGCTTGTTGTGAAAGGAAGAGCGTGGTCCATTGTCTTTGTCCTGATGATAGCAGAAACAAAGCATTATGAGACCTTTGTACACAGACACACACACACACACACACACACACACACACACACACACTGCTTCCTGTCCTTGCCTCTTTTTAAAACATGTCCCTTCGCTTTCTGAGACCCATACATGATCCAGGGTTCTGTGTATAAAATGGGGGTGCCTTTGTCCTTTTGTTATGCTGAAGGATAACAGCAAGCCAGGCTTCCTGACTGCTTGGTGATAGTGGGTGTCAAAGTTTCTAAATACAGTCCTACTGCCAGCAAGCTGTGTTACCTAGGGAAACCACAGCATGTCTTCCCAGTTTCTTCATCTTCTGAGTTTCATTTGAATGCATGCAGGCCCTAACCTACATCAGGCACTGGGATGGAAACTGGCAACAGGAGAAAAATGTCCTTAAACTTGTCAAAGGACATAAACCATCCTAGAAGATCTGAAATTAAATGATGGAAAGAAAGGTATAACTTACCAGACAGAGAAAGCCATACGGGTCTGGTCAGACACACTCTCCCTGTGCAGAAAGGAGAAAGCTGATGTTGCACAGTGCTTCTGGAAGGATGCTCTGGGGCTCAGGCTGTTAAGGTACAAGGTGCATCTGTATGAACAGCTGTTGCTTGGTTGTTACTCTGATGGGAATTTGTTGGAGCGAGTGCATTATTGATGAGCTGACATTTAGAAGCAAAAGGCCAACACCTGTAGATTGGCTTGTAAAGACATCTTCATTGAGGTGAACTGTCCTTGATCGAGGAGTTGGTTAGAACCAGTTGGAGAGCCTCCGTCTTCCCCTACATGTGTTTTTCTCTGCCTCCTACTTGTGGTCCTAATTCAGCCAAAGCTTCAGGGAGACCATCGAGGACTTGCCACATTCTAACTACTGTTGTTGGCTCTCATTAAAGGTGAAATTTCATGTGGAGATCTGAGGTCAACAGTGCTCACTGAGGATTGGGGTAGCTCTGTGGTAGAGTACCTGTCTGCATGCATGAGACCCTAGGTTTGGTTTCCAGCCTGTGGGGGAAGGGGAGGGGAATGCAAGAGAGGGGAGAGGGGAGAAAGGAAAAGGGAGAAGAGAAGAGAAGAGAAGAGAAGAGAAGAGAAGAAGAGAAAGAAGAGAAGAGAGGAAAGGAGAGGACAGGAGAGGAGAGGAGAGGAAACGGGAGGGAGATTGTGCACTGATTCACATGACTGTCTAGTCTTTCAATCATTCTAATCATCTCTCTGAATAAGGCTGAGAATGCAAATTTGTGGACAAAAGACACTGAACAGGTATGGGACAAACAAGTTTAACTATAAGCAGACTGTGGAAGAGCTGGATGAGATCCCAAATTATGATGCAAGTTCTCCTCTCTCTGATCAAAAAAGCAAGTCTCAAAGTTTCTCCGTTTTTTTCTTAGGGATTTAGGTACTGCCTTTTCTTCTAGCTTACACAGAGGTCATTTTACCATGTATGCATGCAGGTCTAACAGGAAGTAGTAACTGCTGTACAGGAAGTAGTGCCTGAGGAGTCAACTCTGCAGTTGACCAGAGGAAAACTTCAGGCTCTTTGATTAGTCATGGCTACAGGGGCTCAGGCATTGCCTGGGGACAGAGAGCACTGGCTGTAATTTGCTTTGAAAGCTTATGTGGCATTATTTACTGTGACAGCTTTTAAACAATAATGAAAACTTCTATTTACCTAATTATCATGAATAGAATCACTCCCTATCCTTAGGAGTCTTTCCCTGTGAGAGTTTCACTCTTTTGTGCTCTTTGATAAGAGGTGCAGGGTACAGGAAGAGAGATTTTACTTCTGATTTTGTGAGTGTGTTAAGGGTTGCAGTGTTATGGACTATGTTTTCCAGTATTTATCTCCAACATCTTCATCTTTAATTGCTCAGCACCTGATATTTTACTGTTTTTCAAATAAATTCCAGCAAGGTTGTTATGCAAAATCAATAATTCATATATCAACTATGCTATTTTAATGCTAGTATTCTTACTACACTCTAATATGTGTTATATAATAAACAAGTCAGATCCACTACTGTAGAGAGGCAGTGTGTTATGGATTAAGAACTGGTGGTCAACTTAATGCCAGCTGGATTACATCATCATGGCACTGAGCAAAGATGCTCCACCTGAGGAAAGTTGCCAGGATAAATAGGTGGAGAAGGAGAAGGAGGTTGTTGAGACATTAATACATTGTTGCACTGAGGCATTGTGGGGTCTCCTATGCATTGCTGTTTGAGCTGTTGGCTCTCCTGGAGAAGCTCTGGTCCTCACATCAAGCATTGCTTCCTGGCTCCAGAGGGGAAGACGTGTGCCACTTGGTCTCCAGGATGAACTCATCATGCTGGCTTCCTGGCATGTACCCGACTGTGCTGGTCATTGGAGGAGCTCTGGGCCTCCATGTAGCTAAGGATGGCTGTGGTGCTTTTCAGGACAGCCCTGGTCTTATTGTGAGTGTGACTTCTCGGCTCCAGTGTAGAACCCTCATCCCACTAGCACAGCTCCTTCACCCTGCTGGCATGGACTTCCAGGCTTCCCCTGCTGACCTTTGGGCCTTCCCGGCACGGATCCATAAAAGAGACTGGAGTGAGTCCTTCTTGTGGGCTCTGGATCTCCAGTTGGACTTGTGGGAGGCACTGTTATGAGCTCTGGGTTCTTATCTGGACTCATGTGGGACATTACTGGGGACTCAGGCCCTTGACTAAATATTCTATGTTCTTGGTGTTGCGAATAGATTTCCTGCATTTTCTTGTGTCAACTCCTGGTGACCATTATAAAAGTATTATAAACTCCATGTCCTGATTCTAATTGTTCTCTGCACAACCCCTGACTACAACACAGTGTGAATTGGGTAAATGGTTTGAATTAACCAGGCAGACTTTTCCTCCTTGTCTAGCACCAAAAGGATTGTGTGTTTCGGACAAGCAAGTTCTGTAGCTCTCCTGAGCCTCAGAAGCCTGGAGTCTGGAAGAGCAAGGTGATGGTCAGGCCAGTGTCACCTCTGAGTGTGATCTGCCAACTTAGGATCTGTCCTGTGGCTAAGCTGAGTTGGTAGCTTTGCTAACTTAGGTAATTCACCCATTGCAATTCCCTCCTTCATATTTAACTGCTGCATGCTCAGCCACTTGTGGCTTCCACTCTCCTACAAGCTAAACACAAGTCTGGGTTGGAGAGAGGTACTTTCTTTTCAGGAAGTTCAGCTTTTTGTGAAAGAAGGAGCTGAAGGCGGAGACCGTCCTGCTGCAAGCTCTCCATTGGAGGACCCAGGAGCAGAGCGAGGGCTGTGGTGTGTTCCACTTAATGGTGGAAGCCCAGTGTCCAGTGACTCTTGAAGTATGTTCCTGACACACATAGGTGTGTGGGGTCAGACAAAGCAGAAGCCCAGAGAGGTAGGCATCCTGACCAGGGCACTGTTACTTTGAAAGGACTCACTGAAATCTAGAACATCATAAAGATTTTAGAAATCTGGCCCTAAGTTTATAGGTGTTGGATAAAGATTTATCACATTTTCATTTTACTGGGTGTTGGACCTGGATAGTGCAGCACTATATCCACAGCCCTTTAAATTTTTGTTTGCGCTTTGATTTTCCTCACTAACAGTAGGATCCTCGATCCCGAGGCTCAGGAGTAGCAGAGAGAAGCAGGTCCCAGTCACTCTGTGATCACAAAGGCTGAGTCCCAAACTCTATAGCACGCTCTGCCACCAAGCCAGCATGCTTAGTAAGGTAGAGAATTACATGCTTATGATATTTGCAGCATTTCACAGGCTCCTTGGGCAGGACTCCATGGTAAATTAGGAGCTCCTTGTGCTAAGTCTTTGTTACTGAATCACATGCACTGCAGCCCTGTAGTTGCTGTTGTCTCCTCTGTTGAGCAAACAGGGCAGTGGTGTCACACTCCTCCACATCTACGACCCACGTGAACAGCCGGGCTTATTGTCCCACTTCCTGTCTATGGCTGAGTCCCACAGCCACTGGGTTCCCATGCCTGGAAATCCAGCTTTGTCTTGGAGTGGACATGTGGGGCCCAGGCCATTCTCACCTGGGCTCAGCCTGGCAGATGAGAGCTAGGTCTTCATGACACTCCTGCTTGTGTCTTGCAGGTGAAGGACTCCACACAACAGTCCCAGATGGTGTTCACAGTCCGCCCTACCACTGTCACCTTCCAGACAGACGGGGACACGTGGCGGGAGCAGAAGGAACAGAGAGCAGCCCTCATGGTGGGCATCCTCATCGGGGTGTTCGTGCTGTGCTGGATCCCCTTCTTTGTCACCGAGCTTGTCGGCCCCCTCTGCTCCTGGGATATCCCGGCCATCTGGAAAAGCATCTTCCTCTGGCTTGGCTACTCTAACTCCTTCTTCAACCCCCTCATCTACACAGCCTTCAACAAGAACTATAGCAGCGCCTTCAAGAGCTTCTTTTCGAGACAGCACTGATCATAGTTGAGGGCAAAAATGCCTTTGTCCTGTGGCTCTGTAGAAGTTTGGACTCTGCACCCTGCAGCCACGGAGTGGTAAAATTCTCCAAGTACCACATGGCCATCTCAGAGCTCAGTTCACCCATTTCCTAACTTGCACACAGCGGGGACATCTTCACCCAGGGCTCTGTGTGTCCCATTTGCCTCCTGTCCCTTACTCTGCACCAGCAGCCGCAGACCTGGCCCACCAAGGACCCACTCCTTCCCTAAGTCCACTCCAACACAGCCCCTGGCATGGACCTGGAGAAGCCCTATCATGGAAGCAAGTGGGAGGAGGTACAGCATAGGGGCAAGGGAAGGAGGATGGGAAAAAAACCCAATGAGATGCAAGGAGACCATAATACTAAGCTGTCCAGACTCATTCTCGTGTGCACCTAGTAACCGTGTCCTGACTCTTACCATTTATTTCCAACTTTCAACCACAAAGCATTGTTTACAAACATATTAAAGTATGCAGCCCCTCTGAAGAGGACAGTGACTATTGGCAGTATGACATCTACACATGTGCACGCGTGCACACACACATACACTATGGAAAAGGCAACTACTTCAATTGACTAGTTTACCCCAACACACAACTCATTTACTTAGATTATGTGTTAAGGGCTAAATGAAATATATCCTTCCGTTTTGAAGCAACAATTCACAAACAGTAGAAAAATCTACTAGTTTCATAGAATCTCCCAAACTTGCTTATTTGTGCAGAATTTATTGAAATGATTCTGGGCAAAAATCTTTTATCCTCAGATCCTGGTGTTAGACTGTTGTGAAATTGTCACAGCTTCTTAAACAGTTTTACAACAGCAACTATGAGGGCATGTTCTCCAGATGCATGCGCTTGGGTGGAGTCATTGAGCAATTTGTATTGGCCTGTGGATGCCAGAATAAGTAACCAGAGAGTAGAAGGAGGTCAGTGTGGCCTTGGTCCCCTACAGGTCAGCTATGTAACTGGTGGGCTGAGGCAGTAAGGGAGTGACGTGGGTATGTACAGCCGTATCAGACTTGGTCACAGCCCCATCTCCAGAGGCCAAGAACTGTCAGAAAAACACCACTGAAGAATCTCTAGAAACTTTGACAAGGCAGCTGTCTTTTCAGAATTTTGTACATGCTGCCTTCTCACCAAGAACAGAGGATGCCCAGCTCATTCCAACAATCTTCAAACCAGAGACATCTCAGAATACTTGGTTGCCACCAAAATCCTAATTTGCTGGTTGGTAGCTTTTCTTACTAGACATGGATCAAGACCTCAGGTCACAGAAACGTACAGTGATGGAATTATTTCTTGAGAAGTCACTTTCGAGGCTGTCTCCATTAGCAAACTCACCACTGGCAGGACAGAGAGATGGGGAATCACTGCCAAAAGCACCAGAGTCCTGTACACCCATGCATTTCTTTAATTGGCTTAAAGTGCAACTTGTGTCTTCCTCATGAATTTTGCACTTTAATTGAAGAAAAAGTTCTCCAATTTCCTGGAGCATCAGCCTCAAAGATCACATATCTCCTATCAGGAGCTCAGCCAGCTGTGGTCTTCATGTCCGCACCAGACTGAGAAGCAAACTGAGATCACATCATATCATAAAGAAGAAGCCACAAAGCCACAAAAGTTTCTCATAGTATGGTTTTGCCAAAGTTAATTTTTCAAGAGCTCTTTAAAATCAAATTGATAAATATAAAAAGGCCCCCCTCGCTCGAGTCCTAATCCTATGAAGACACTTTTAAAATGTTCTAAGTCATACAAATTCTGTCTACTTACTGATCGTTGCTCTATGGGGGAGCGCTCAGTACAGTGAACCTTAAGAGCAAGCAGCAACACGAAGCATGGTTATTTCTGTTCCTACTTTGCAACTTTCAGTAAAAATAAACCCACGTACCAGTGAGTGCCTACCAGGTTCCCTGCTAAATGTTTACATGAATTATTCTTTCATTGCCTCAACCATAGAAGATTCTGACCTTTTTAACACCACTCCTCTCATAAGATTTGGTGATTTCACCCACAGAGTCAATCAAAAACAAAACAAAAAACCTTGGACATTATGTGGGTTTTAGAAAGCTCCTGGGCAATAAAACTCCCTGTTGTCCACTAATGTCCCTGATTTTTTGAACACATACATTTAAAAATTATGTATTATATTCTCTCTAAATTATTGTAATACATGACAATATATATTATATTGTATATAATAAATTATACCAATTAAAATTTCCAAAGTCGGAAATCAGTGACAGTTTCTTTGTGGCTCTGTCTTGAAGTTTACCTCTGACCTGTAACACACGGTCTTTCTGCACAGCACATGCGTGATGAGAAGCATCAGGCATCATGACTGATGTGTGGAGCCCAGGCTCCGTATGTATGTGCTGAAGTAGATTCACTGAAGCTTTACTACAAAACCACCTTAGATCAAAAGTTCAGGCCCAGCCTGAACAATGTGGTGATTTAGTGAGACTTGGTGTCAAAATAAAAATAAAAAAGGACTTGAAATGTAGCTCAGTGTGAAAAATCTGGATTCAACCCGCTATTGAAAAAAAAAATCTGTCTGATATAAACGCCATGGAAAGAAAGAACTACCTTGAGTGGTGTTTTCTCCCTGGTGTAGCCTGGCTGCTTTAAAATAATTAGCATATCTCGCTCACCACTCCAGTCCCTGGGTATGCCTCTGGGCCCTAATTGAAGGGTTAGGTTCACCAGAATAGTTATTTTCCTCCTTGGAAGATCGGGAGGCAGCTTATAGAAAAACCTTGCTGCACTGAGAGAGAGCCTAGCAGGAAGGGTTGCTTCTCTGCAGATCTTCTGTATATTGACCTCTCCCGCTGCTTCTCTCCCCTGTTTCGAGGCAGCTCCGTGGTGCATCCTCCCATCGCACAGGGCACAGCAAGGAAGTCAGTGCAAGAAAGCAGCCTCCAAAAGCCAGTAGGGCTGCTGTGGCACTGCGTGAGGACTGTGACTAGGAAGCAGAAATGGCAGGCTCGGGTGGTGCTGACACACGCAGAACCAGCCCTGTGAAGTGCACTTTGCTCTTAGAGAACCATGGTTCCACACTCCTCCCTCCCACGGGCAGCCGTCTGCTGAACTCCCATGCATGGTCACTGTTGGAGCCAAGGCTCTCATTTTCTGTGTTTCCTTCAGTGAGTGCCAGGACAGCCACTAATATGGTGGCAGCTGTGTTTATAGCCAGAGCACTGGACCTTAGATAATGTTCTCCCAAAGCCAGAGCATCCATGCTGGCCGGGGTCCTCATTAGAGACTGGGGCCTAGCAATGGAGCTATTGTGTAATAAGCACTGGCCGGTGGCCCTGTTCACAATGTCTGCAGAGCTGTGTGAACCCTTAATTAACCAAAGAATTTAGCACACTGCATCTTTGTCTTTAAAATTATAGGTTTGTTGTTTGTTGTTGAAATGAATCACATTTTTATGCAGGTCTCTACAATAATAAAAAGCAGTCTTTTCGTTAAAATAGTTTTTAAAAGCCCTAGCCTAAGAGATTCAACAAAGAGTCAAAAACTGCTTTCCATAGGAATCATGAATTCTGAGGCTAGAGTAGGAATTGAGAGGCACTTGTGAGAAAAGTTCTACTTTACAAGGAAAGGGGCAAGTCCCCAGACATGAAATCCATGAAGACCCATCTTTGAAAGGAACTGTGCTTTGGAAGAAGCATGGCCAATGGACTCTTGAAGCAAGGAGGTGACCAGTTTTTAGGAAAATCCCATCAGAGGAGAGCAGAGCCTTCAAAACAGTATTGGGGATCCCAAGTTTGGGTTGGCTGTGACCTGACGAGTAAATGGCAGCATGGTGTCCCTGGGGGACATCAGATGGACAGAGAATGTCCCTGGAGGATAGGTGGTAGACAAGGGGTGTCACAGAAGATAGGACACAGAGAGGGCTTGGTTCACAGTGAGTGACCTAGAGAAGAGTAGATGACGAAGCGTGTCCCTGGAGGACAGGAGGTGTAATAAGGGTATCCCTGGAGGACAGTAGATGGCCAGAATGTCCTGAGAGGATAGCAGGCTCTTTTCAGGCTGTGTGACTGCATGCTTGCTGGCCTCTGTGGTGAACACTCTGATGTTCTCCTCTGTTTTAACTCCCAGAGAACAATTTAGATCCTCCCCTTCCTTTGTGGAAGCTCCTTGCTTCTTTAATTATGACATCAAAATCCAGGGTCAAGGACAAGATCCTCTAGCACTCGAATCCCCACTTCCAGTTCCCCGCACCACAGTTCTGAAGTGGATTTCCTGACAGACTGTCAATTCCTGCAGGATTTCCACCCCACAGCAAGTGGGTCTGGGCATGGCCATCAGGCCGCCCCTTCTTGCCACTCCGTCCAAGGTCTTAACACAGTTGTAGGTAGAAGGTCCCAAGTCATCTCTGCTTGCTCTGCACTGAGCAGAGATAGATGAGGTGGCAAGAAAGACAGAGCTGTGTGCACTGACCTTCCATTGGTAGGGCAGGAACAGAGGGGAAGGGAAGCAGGAAAGATTTCGATGTCACAGAAAAACACATACAATAGGGAAGCCATTGCAGTGTGCGCACATATGTGAGTTACACAGAAAGAGGACTGTGGTACATTTGCAATGGAAGAAATTTATGAAACAGGAACTTGCAGTGCGATTCCCACCTCGTTTTTGCTTTTGTAATGCTGTTCATGAAACCGGCACAAGCTCGCTCCCCAGCTACTCCCTAGTCCTCATTATGATCCCATTTCTGTGAGCACACATTTACACGTGTGTGGGCTCATTTACCCTGGAAGTTTATAAAGCAAGACAGGAATGGTGCTTATCTCGGTGTATGAAATTACGGGTGACTTCATTTTCAACGTCTAATCTTTTCTGACACTTGTAGTGACTATATTTTTAGAAACAGAAACATCTATAGGAGTTGAAGATAAAGCTAACTTTGGGAGGCAAAGGGCTTTTTTTATATATTTCAAACAGACTAGTTTAGCAACAATTTTTGGCCCAATAATAACAAAAGAAGCCAAATGTTCCTTTTTGAAGTCAGGCTGGAAAAGCAGTGCTTTCTTCTTCACGATTCCCCCTGTGGTTTATTAAAGTAATCAAGGCTTGTTATAGAAAATTCCAACACAGTGCGTTTTATTATCTTTCACAGGGTGGTGCGACGTGGCATGTGGCTGCCCATCTGTCTGGTAGGGGCACAGGGACCCAGGGAGGGGAGGAGCACTTTCCCATCGCTTGCCTTGCTCTCCAGTCCTTGTTGATGGGTAGACGTGACGATGTGTGATGAATTATTAATAGAAGAAGCTGTGAGACCATAAATATTCAGGGGGCTACATCTGGTTTCCCTGATGTTTTATGTAAGGCAGAAAGCGTACATTTTTCCTGAGCAGAACTACTTGTCAACTCCAAAT